GAACTGATAACGGGACCTCAACACCCAGAGTGAACAGCCACCCTAATTTTTTACTTGGAATGGAAGAACAAAGGGTACAGACAAAAATTCAGCTCCTGACTAGGGCAGTGTAAATGCCTACTGAGATATGCCTGGTCTTCAGTGTTTTATACACATCTTCACGGTAACCAGCATTTTCAAGCCTGCACTTCATTAAATACCAAACCTCTTATGAGAAAAGGGGAACAGATAAAGGGCTAAAAGATTTATTAATAGCATAGATGAATAAGTATATATACTTCAAGGGCCAGCAGGGAGTAGGGTAGAACAGGATGAGTAGGAGAGGAGGACAATAATGGCAACTTCAGTGTAAAAACTATTGTCGAGTGGCAGAAATGAGAAAACACTTGAAAAGGAGGGGCAGCAGCAGCTCCTCTATGACTCAGACACATTCCCTTCCATTGGCTGGATTTGGGTAAATGGCCCCAGAGAGGGGGCCACCCAGAATAGTGCCTATACAGCCACTCTACCCAGACAGCCTTCTGATGACGGAAGAGATGGACACACAGTGGGACCATGTGCAAGTCTGCAGGGTTCCTTCTAGATTGAGATCAGTCAATAAAAAAACACAACATGAATCCTCTGAAGATGGAACCCATTAGTCTAATACAGGCTTTGAAAATAATTTACAAAATCATTTGGATTAAAATTAACTTAATAAGGCAGTACAGCTATGATAAAGTTAACTTTAAGTCAAAAACCGCCCACCACAGGGACTTGGGGCATAGCTCAGTCGTCGAGTGTGCTAGCATGTGCAAGGTCCTGGGTTTGGTCCCCAGCAGCTCCTCCACAACTAATTTGCTCCTTGTTCAATTTATAAACAAAACTGAGCCAGGCATGGTAGCACATACCTGTAATCCCAGCACTCTGAGAGGCTGGGCCAAGAGGATCCCAAGTTGGAGGCCAGTTCAGGTAACTTAGCAATGTACAAAGACAATGTGTCAAAATAAAAAATGAATAAATACAAGGGGCTAGGGAAATAGTTTAGCGCAAAGGCCCTGGTTCAATCCCCAGTATTGGGGGTAGGAACACAAAAATGATCCTAACTATGGCCTCTGGAGGAGTCTGGTCTCCTCTCAATAGGACTAGTCTTTGCATCAGGTCTGTCCCACCAGGAAGGCTCCATCACCCTTTATTGTCCAGTTCTTTTCTTGAAATCTGGTGTTCCATACTTCCTTGTCTCAAATGTCATTCATGAGACATGGCTTTTCCTTCTATCCCCTCTAGTATTTGGCAGCTGGGTGAGTCAAATACAAAGCAAGAAAGGACAATGGTTTGTCTTCAGACCAGGTTCTTGACTTTACAAATAAGAAAATTGGGAAATACACACTAAAAAAGTATTTCTGCTCAGAGGTTTTCAGTGGAGAGCATGGGGGTGCACAGGGAGAGTGGTGGGTTCTGAAGATGAAGCTCCTCATGCTTCACATCTATGTCATCCCACTCTTGGTTGAGAACAACTTTCATAGCCTCTCAGCCATGCTATTTAATGCTAATAGGAGACAATAAAGTTTAGCACAGTGGCTGAAAGTACAGCCTTCAGTAGAACCTTCAAAACCACAGAGAGCTCAGTTAAAATCCAGTCACAGCTGAACACTTCCTAGCTATGTGACAAGACTAAGTTAGTTACCTCTCTAAGACTTAGCATTCTTCTTTGTAAAATGGAGTTTACACAACATACCCTCAGGAGATTGTCACAGGGACTGAATGAGATAAGATATGCAAAGTACTTATCAGAGCATCCAGTAGAGTAAGCACTCAATGTATGGGAGAGAGAAAAAAATGAAGCTAAAACATATCATGCATTTATAGTCCCCTCCTCCCAGCTGAGGATTTATAAACATCATCAAACACAACTCAACTTGGAGAATACATTATATGATTATTTTGGTAGCAGGATTTTATCTTCCTAATGATGTTTTGCTTCGGCAAATGTCAAAAAAGAGTTTCCACTTCCACAGCAGACACTGATGGGATAGTGGGGATGGGGGTAGCAGGGATGAGCTGAGAAACACACTGAACGGGGGCAGGATGAAAAATAATGTGACTTGATAATCATCTATGGAAATTCAATCTCATTCCACGAACGCATACTGAGTGCTACCTGTGTGCAAATCTGTGGACTGGAGGAGTAGGGACACATTTATACGCCCATCTGAAAGGGGGATGGGAGATGGTTACACTACCACTCAGTGAGTACCTTTCTGCACCAGGCCCTGTGCTACACACCTGACACGCATCTTGTTTCTCCTTCAGCCATTCTACCACTCAAGAACCAAGTGTAGACCAAGGTTTGGAGATTTGTAAATATCAGAAATAGCATTAAAACCCAAGTCCCTATGATACCAAATCCTATGGCTTACATCAAACATTTTAGTGAAAGGAGGAGAATTTTCAATGAATCGAGGACAGGAATGAAATATGCCTTATTTAGGGGATCACAGGCTAGAATAAATAAGAAATAAGACTAGAAATACAGGCTGGATCTAGAAGGTTAGTCTGTAATTGTCAAAGTGAGAGTCTGTGAAATGCCAGTGACATCTAGACTTGACTTCTAGACAGTGAGAAGCCATCTGAGAACTTTATTAGGCAAGGTCTACAAACGTTCATCTTTGCTTATCACAGAACAGGGCAATGTAAATATGTGCTGGTTGTCAAGAAATGTAGTCTGGTTATATAGTTATAAAATATATTTCCAAGCAAAAGATGACAATAACACTGATACAGCAAAGGGGTGACACTGCAGAAAGTCAGAGAAATACTGGGGTCTCAGGACTGGTTGGCACCGCCCAGGATGATGATGATAAAACAAGAATCAGTCGATTCCTACAGTAAGTTCAGTTTTAGAAAAAATTAAAATGTAAGAAAGATACTCAAGGGGAACCATGAGAAACCTAAAGTATAAATAATTTAAAGAACAAAATACAAGCTAGATAATGGGAAACGAGGAGACAAATCCTTTACAAATGGGAAGCGGTCCAAGAGATGGAGGGAAGTAGAAGGGAGAGGAGGGAAAAGGGAAATCAGAAGAATTAAGGTGTTTTATGTACATGTACTAACTCCCCACGATGAATATTATCATTATGTACTACAAACATACTAATAAAAATAAAAAATTTTAAAAAGAATTTAAAAAACAAAGGGAAGCAAGGGCCAGGGATGTAGCTCAGTGGCATAGCACCTGACTCGCAAGCGCAAGGTCCTGAGTTTGATCCCCAGTACCAAAAAAAAAGGGAGGGGGGAAGCAAATATTAAAAATTTTGTTTTAAAAAGTTGTGTTTTTTCATGTTACATGAAAATGCCTGTAGAGATAAACAAGATGAATCAATTCCCTTTTTTTTGGAGAAAATTATTCTTTTTTTTTCTTTTGGTACCGAGGATCGAACTCGGGACCTTGCGCTTGCAAGGCAGGCAGGGGCACCACTGAGCTAAATCCCCGGCCCGAGAAAATTATTCTTTTTTTGTGTTACTGGAGATCGACCAAGAAAATTATTCTTTTTTTTTTTTTGGTACCTGGGATCGAACTCGGGTCCTTGCGCTTGCGCAGCAGGCGATGAAACCACTGAGCTAAATCCCTGGCCAAGAAAATTATTCTTTATTGAAAAATACCAAAAATACTGACGGACTTCAAAAGCAATTCACGGTTCCAGAATACAAAGTACTTAAAACTTGTTTGCATTTCAAACAAAGTTAGCATTTTTGTAAATCCAATTTGATAACCTGCCTAAAACTATTTTCCAACTTTATTATTTAAGGAGCTGCACAACTTTTAAAGTAGGTTTTGGGAGGCAGGCAGGAGCTCAGGGACAGAATGCGCCTGGGGCTGCACAGCAGTCTACAGCAATATCTCACAAGTGCAGTGTTGGAAACAAAAGTGCTGTAGAAGAATCTGCCCTTCAGTGTCAGAGAATCTTGTGAAACAGTGTTTCAGAAGACAGCCAGTTTTTCTTATAATCCACATATTTTCATTTACGATAGCTTTCTTTCTTGTTGGTACCAGGGATCGAACTCGAGTCCTTACGCTTGCAAGGCAGGCAGCGGAACCACTGAGCTAAATCCCCGGCCCTTAAGATTGCTTTTTGAAGAAAATATTTTAAGAATACCACTGTAATTTAGTATCATCCAATAATTAAATTTTTAAAACTATAAGAAATAAATGAACTGTTACCATCAAATGGTCTTTGCTGAGCTGTAATAATTCTATGCTTTTTAAGATGCAAAAACTTAACATGTATGCAAGTTTAATTTGAAACCACACAAATTATGTTTGTAGCCTCAGATAGTAGCAGTGTTCACTTTAATCACTAATAGCTTAACTGGAACCGCGATCTATTCATTCCACCAACTAGGATAGCAGCACCAAGATCTTCTAAAATTCTTTATGTATAAATCTTAAGTCGTTATTCAAGTCCCATTCTTTGCATGCTCCAATTCTTGTTATCTCATTTAACATAAAAGCAACAGGATGTGGAGAGTTACTATTTGCTGTATTAAAGCAGTTATACAGTGTCTTGTACTGTCAAAAAGCAAAATACTGTGAATAGCAGCCTTTCTTCACAACTCTAAAAGTGAGGCTGCCAAGCACACACTGCTTGGCATACTCAATTCCTTATTAATGGAAGTTCATTAATTAAAACCATAACGATATAAACACAGTGACTATAACGGTGCTTAAAATCTCCTCTTCATTCACTTTTGCCTTCTCTTTCTTCACTGGACATTTACTTAATAATAAGTGTCAACCGCATAGTAGGCACGCGTTTACAGAAGCAGCAAGCACTATATGTGGAGCACATAGTCTATGAAGGGAAACAGTAACCAAACTTGTATAAAAACAAATGCCTAAAAGTATGAATAAAGTACCAGACACAATACTGTGTCCATAAACAGGAGTCTCAACAGTCAAAGGAGGACTGCATATACCACTGTCCCTGTGAAGGTCTACACACGCTTGGGACACATACCTAACCATGTTGCAATGAGGGCTGCATCAATTCCATCTATTGGTTCACATATCCGAGCCACAACTGGGTGGATTTGTTGGGCTAGGTAGTACTGGGTGTCGATGGTTAAATTATCTTGTTTCTGCAGCAGTTCAGGGGCATAGGCTCTCTGACTTGCAGTGAGGTTTGACCCATCCTGAAAGAAGATATGGCACAGGACAAGGTGTGAGCAAAGCAATCACATACCCTGGCTTGGTCAAACAGGGAGACAACAGTTTAAATTTTATATATTAAATTTTAAACACCAAAATGTCTTTTGACAAACTGTCAACCATTTCATATATATCTCAGTAGGAAGACCAAGAAGAACTACTCGGTCTCAATCTCATTCACCATCCAAGAATGTAAGTCCAGCATGTGTTGTATTCTTTTTTTTTCCTGTCCAAGCATAAAACCAGTAATATGGCACTGACTAGATTAAATAATTCTATGTGCCACATCACAAAAATACATTGAGAAGATCTGGTTATAGTCTAGTTAGAAAGGGTTTTAAAGGGGTGGTAATAATTGCTTGGTGTGGTGGTGCCTATAATATCAGCACTCTGGGAGGTTGAGGCAGGAGGACTGCGAGTTCAGACTGAGAAACAGCAATTTAGCAAGACCCTGCCTCAAAATAAAAAGGGCTAAGGATATAGTTTAGTGAGAAGGCCCTGAGTTCAATCTCTAGTACCAAAAAAAGAAAGTAAAACTGATCCACATATAGCCCTGCAGTGATGTCCCCACCACCTGTGAATTAAAACTTCATTATAGGGCCGGGGATTTAGCTCAGTGGTTTTGCCGCCTGCTGCGCAAGCGCAAGGACCCGAGTTTGATCTTCGGTACCAAAAAAAACCAAAAAAAAACCAAAAAAAAAACTTCATTACAATACTGGATCAACATCTAACAACTCACTCCACTCTTCTTCTCATCTAAAACAACAGTATTTAATATTCAGACTAGTAAATGGTAACCATTCACAGTGCTCAGGTGCTCAGTATAACAGATTATAATGTGAATTCTATTCTTTCATGCCTGCTACAACCAGTTTCTTCTCATCTCAGCACCTAGCCCAAAGCAACCTTACACACTGCTGTTTTTACCAGAAGTCAGAGGTAGGTAGGGACCTCTCTCTCCGGCTAGGCTCTTAATCCAAACAAACTGGGCCCATTTATCAACTAAGTTCTACCTTTTTTAAGATAGAATGAAATACTGAAAAAGAAAGCAAACCTCACATTTAGAAAATTTGCTTATTCTCTCCAACAGTTCATAGTACAGTAAAAGAAACTGGGCAGAATTAATCAAGTTTAATTGTTACCCTCTTAGAAGCTGGAATTGTTAGCAAGAATAAGGGAATGACTGATGAGAAAAACTGAAAAAAATCCTTGGGCAAAGTCTTCATACACCTCACTGTATTCATACTGTCTTTTTACACATGAAATCTGATTGATTCATAGAATTGTAGCTTTGTGTTGAGTTTAATAATCTTTAATGGTGAATTAAAATTGAATTTGTAGAAGCAAAATATTTTTTTAAAAGGCACTTGGGGGAGCTAAGCCTTTCTCGGAATATGCTAAAGAAAGTTAATAAAAGGAAACAACTCTGTCTATCTATCTATCTATCTATCTGTAATTTTTTTTGGCACCAGGGAAGGCAGGCAGCGGAACCGCTGAGCTAAATCCCTGGCCCAACAATTATTTTTTAAAAGCAAGTAAGTTAAAGCCCATTAGCAATGATGGGAAAAATGCTAAAAATACATCAAATTATATTATAATTTATTAGTATTAGTATTTTGAGCCCACCTATATCAGTAAGACCAAGAAGAAATCATAAGAAGACCAAGAAGAAATGATAAGACCTGATACTAAGATGTCAAGGAGCATAAGCGTGACTTAAATATTTTCATACCTGGGATTGAACTCAGGACCTTGCACTTTCGAGGCAGGTGCCAGAACCACTGAGCTAAATCGCCAGCCCTAAGCTTGACTTTTAAATTCACCAATCATCCTATTTTATAAGTTACCATATGCCTCCATTCCAGGTTAAGCCAAAATATAATTGTGGCTTGATTTCATCATTAGATGCTATTTCACTGAACCTATATGATTTTTTTTTCAAAGTTGTATGCCACAATCTGCTCCTTTCATTAATAATCTAAGAGCTTTTCCATGTATGTGAAGACACAAGGGGGAAAAAAACCTAGTCTATTTACCAAAATCTTTTTTTTTTTGTACCGGGGATCGAACTCGGGACCTTGCGCTTAAGAGGCAGGCCCCGGAACCACTGAGCTAAATCCCTGGCCTGTACCAAAATCTTTATTTGCCTAATATGAAAATTGTTTTTTTGAGATGAAACTTGTCAGAGGCAATATGCAAAGCACATTAAGGGCTTGAGCGAGTCAGACATTTATGGAAACATTTTCCTGCAGGAATTGGCTTTCTCTAACAGTTCTTAATCAAGGGTAACCCTAGGAGGGAGACAGAGTCAAGTGCTGATTCCTGTCCATGTACTTATATCATTTGTTATGTATATCATCTACAGTATGTTGCAGATATTAACAGACTACTTTTAAATTTTTACAAGGCTCTGTACTTTAAGAATGCACTGATTGTAGTTCAACAAAGATCAATCATGCTGCAATGAATTTTAAGGTTTCTGTAATTTTTACCGTTAAAAATACAATGCAGTAAAAATTAGGATAAAACTCTTAATAATAAAAGAAAATTTTATCCAGATGAATTATACTTTAGGATAGTTAAGCCATACCATAGTAATTTTAAGGAATCTGGATAGAGGTTTATAACTCTGACTTTTGAGAGTTAGGATAAGAGCTCTTCTTTGTTCCAATTGGTGTCAAGTGCTTTCAAAGAAAAAAAGCCTACTCCTCTATCCTACTTCTCTTCCCTACCCCATGTTTGTAGCATGCTACTCTTAAAAGAAATTGGTTAGCAGTTTAAATCTGTGTTCCAAAAGGCCTAGCAATTCCTTAGAGGTGCCTCATAAAACAGGGAGAAGGCAAGCAGGTTGACCTTCTCCATCAAGAGAAGAGGAGAAGGAGATGGGGAAGGAGAAAGAAGGGCAAGAGGAGAGGAGGAAAGGAGGGAGAAGGGGGGGAGGGGAGAGGAAATGGATTGGTGCTTTGTTTTCTTCATAAAGTATGTCATTAGGACCTATCAACTTTCTCCATATGATCAGGCATCTCATATTTTTTCAAGTAGTTATTGTGACATAGGCTAGGACAGTGTATTTACTCTCTCATTACTCCACTGATACAATGCAAAGTGCTGCAAGAAGAATGCTAAATGACTACTGCAGGACTGATGAACTGAACTTTTACACATTTCTTTCTTTTGTTTTTGGTACTGGGGATCGAACTCGGGTCCTTCTGCTTGAGCAGCAGGCCGTGAAACCACTGAGCTAAATCCCCAGCCCTTACACATTTCTTTCTTTCATTTAATGTGGTGCTAAGGATTAAACTCAGGGCCACACACATGCAGGCAAGCACTCTACCAGAGAGCTACAACCCAGGCCCCTGACACATTTTCATTCAAGATAATTTAGGGTTTAAATGGTAGCTACTGCTCTAAACCTATTTCACCAAAATAATTTCAGTGAACCAAAACACTAATCTTAAATGCTTTATGAAACTTCTAATAAAACATGCCACATCTCTGACTAATGTTCTTAAATGTTGCAAAACTAGTCAGACTAAACCATCTCTTTATAGGATCAATTATTTGGAAGACTACTAAACACACTGTGGTGATCTGGATTTTATTCCAAGTTGCTAAATGGTACAAGTCTTATGTATTATGATACTTTTACCTGACAGATGACATATGACACAGTATCTCCAGCTTTCACCTTCCTGCCCACTTGAGAATTTATCCAGAGGGCAACATGTACATGAGGTAAGCTTTTTTTATCAGGGTAATCCTGGGGATCCTTTGTCAATGCCTAAAAGAGAAAAAAGAAAAAGGGAGCAAAAAACATTAAAACTCCTTTCACAAAGCTACACACTGAACACATCTTCACTAGAATCATACTAGCCACATAAACATAAAAATGACAGAAGCTGTATAGAAAGCACACACACAGAATCTTTTTCAAAAAATAACTTTATTATCAAACACACACATACAAAAAATTAAAACCATTCAAAGAAGAACAATGCAAGGGGGAAAAAAGCAGAATAATATTCAAACACATTAGAACTCAACCAAAACAAAACTGAAAAGCACTTAAAACATTTTTGCATATAACTTAAAAAAGCATTCAAGCACCAACAAGACACCAGAGGATGTTATTTGTTTCAGAAAGATCCCCAAAACCAACACTGAACAAATAATGATCTGGAAAAAAACTCCAGTTAGTTAGCAGACTCCACATAAGCCAAACTTCTCCCCAATTTAAATCTCGATAACAATCATATGACACGCGATGGAAACATAATCCGAGAAATGTTATTGGGTCATTTCACCCCAACACACGGAATCTTTAAACAGTCTATCCTCAAGGCTTCTCTCTCCTTTGTTTAGATTTTGTGTTTTTCGGTTTTTTTTTTTTTTTGGTATCGGGGATCGAACTCAGGTCCTTGCGCTTGCGCAGCAGGTGGCGAAACCACTGAGCTAAATCCCCGGCCCTCTCCTTTGTTTAGTAACTAACATAACTAGATGCAACCTTAACAAAAATAAATAAAAGTTTATGGGCCATATTGATCAATATTTGAATATAAAAAACCAAGACTATAAATCCAGTGTTGGATGCAGGCTTAAGAGTATCTCCAAATGTTTGGAATTCTCTCAAATGAATTAAGCGTTGGGACTGATGAATAATAGTTACTCTAACTTAATGATCAGTTTCTCATAGGCTCCTCTAGCCTAAATAAATCCCAAGGGCACCAGAAATCACTGGATTTACTCCTACTGTCAACCTCTACAGAGACAGAATGACTTTGTAGTAGAAAGTAAGCCACATGAGAGCAGGAATAACATCAGCCTTGTTCAACACTTTACTCACAGTGCTCAGAATGTGGCATGATGTACAGTAGCAGTCAAATGTTTGCTGAATTTCACCCATTCTGCAATAATTTGCTAAATTAAATACTGTAAAGTACTACTTAATAAGATGCAGCTACTGCTATTAAGTCATCAGCTACTAAAAGACTCCCTCCTCACTGGACACCCCCCCCCAAGAACTCCTCCACAATAAACTACATGCACCGTAAGGAAGAAGTAAACAAAATGTCATGGAAAGAGTTTAAAAAGGTAAAGATCATTCCCATCTGAGAGCAGAAATCATGGAAGATAAAAACAAGCTAGTACTAAAAGGAAAAACAAGATTTCAAGAAAAGGTAACAGGTATATGAATATTCCACCCAGAGAAAAAAGGGGTAAGGGAAAAATACTGTCTTCTAGGCTGGAACTCAACGTGCACAAAGAGTAGGAGGATGCCACCTGGCTTTGTTAAGGGGTAGGTTTCAAGAGCGAAGAGGAAAGATGGGGACCAGGGTGCTGCTTAATGAGTTTACCTGTTCTCCAAGTGTGGTCTGTGGATACATGGGCAATCCCAATATCCTTTCAGAAGATCTCGAGATCAAAACTATTTTCATAACAATACTGTTTATACTGACGATGCAGAAGCAACAGTGGGTAAAACTGCTGGTGCCTTATAAATATAAATCAGGGCAGCAGCACCAAACTCTGCTAATAGTTGTTGTATTATTCTCTACCATAAGGTTTCAAAACATTTATTTAAGAATGTCTTTGGAGAAGCAGTAAAAATTAGTAATTTTTAAAGCTTTCAATCCTTGAGTAGTAGTCTACTTAGGAAGAAAATACAAGGCAAATGTGAAGAAACAAGTTTGCTCCAGAAAAAGCTCTTGTGTAATTATTTTGAGTTGCAATCTAAATTAGCTGTCTTTTCTAGTGAATACAATTTTTATTAGTGCATATTAATCATTCAGAATAATGAATTTCATTTTGGTGTATTCATATGTGCATACAGAATACAATTTTTACTTGAAAAAAATGGACAAACTATGCTACTCTGACATGGATATCTGGTAAACAATTTCTCAAAAAAAAACTAAACAAGCCTGCTACTTCAAGGAAAAAGAAAGATAAACATTCAACGATAAAATTCAAGCTTTTAAGTATAATAAGAATCTTGGAAAACTTATTTCCACTTCTGTGAACTTGACAGTTTCCCAACACTTAAAGACATTTCTGATATAAGAAGAAATATTTAGAAATGTGATTTTTGATGGTATAAATTAAAATGTGCCCATTTGGGAAGACGTATATAATTCAGGTAAACAACACTTAACAAATGACCAATCCATAGTGCAAGGAATGCCTCACATGGGTAAAATATCCTTTCAATGTACAACACACACGAACACATTTTAATATAAAAGAGGATAAACTATTCATTGGTACAGTTTCAGATTCCACATTACAAAAAATCTTTAAGAAAATACCATCTGTATAGTTTTAATGTAGGACCAAAGAAGAATATACACATACAACTCTCACAAAAAAACTACTAAAATACTTCTCCTTTTTCTAAGTATTTGTGTGAAACTGAAATTTTCTTCTATTTCAACCAAAGCTGCATATCATAACAGACTGGAAGTAGAAGCTGATATGAAAATCCAGATGCCTTCTACTAAGCTAGACATTAAAGAGATTTACAAAACTGTAAAATGATGCCACTCTTCTGACTAATTTCTTTTCTTTTTTATTTGGCTAATTTCTTTGTTTTGTAATATATAGTTATTTTTCATGGAAAGTGTTATTTTAAAATAAATTCTTGAATTTTTACTTTAAATAAAAAATAAATAAATACTTGAATTTTTAACACACTATCAGCATAAATCATATAAACAAAAGTCCTTGGAGTGTTAAACTATTTTAAGAGTATAAAGGTGTCCAGAGACCAAGAAATTTTTTTTTTTTCCCTTGGTACCGGGGATCGAACTTGGGACCTTCCGCTTTCGAGACAGGTGGTGGAACCACGAAGCTAAATCCCCGGCCCTCAGAGACCAAGAAATTTGACAACTGTTGTGGTAGAATAAAGTCGGTCCTCAAACATGGCCGCACATTTTCAAATTATACACACTTTCTAAATTTTATACTCAAATAGAAGAGTGTCTAGGAAATTTCCCAAGTATCTGAATCTCCTCCAATCTAGATTATGGTAAGTCTTGATTGACTTAGATGGACAATACTAGAACTCTTTAATCGACATAACTCTACTTAAGAAAACCATTTTCTTCTTCAATTGACTGTTCTTTGGTGCAATGATAAGAAATTCTGAATTTCATCTGACACACTTTCCAATTATTAGATTGAGACTATTTAGGGATTTTATATGCTAGATTTAGAAGGCTTCATCTAAAAAAATGCTTCCTGGTAATTTAGGCTCAAGTTAGCCAGGGCTATAAAAATCAGCTGTGAAGTATTTTGTATTACTTTGTAAAATATATTTAAGCTAAGATTGCAGTAGTTCAGAAAAATCACAGTCTGCTTTTCAGTTGCTTTTGGCAACAAGGGCTAAAATCCCTATAAATGTAAATCCTACCACTTTACACATGCCTCTACCTTAATCTAACCTGCCATTTTCAAGCCCTAGTGACATCACCTAAAAAAATGTATATATAAAACCAGCAAATGAAACACCATCCTGCCATGGTACCATCCACAACCAGTCACACAGATTTTTGTATTCCACACTTAAGCTGAATTGCTTCCAAGTTTTGCATATTCCAAGTATTCAGATAAGTGCTGAAGATTTTCATAAGGACACATTAACTTTCACATATGAAGTTTACTGTAAATAGGAACAGAACTACAACTATGATATAGATAGTATTATCAGAACTTATTGTACTTACATCAAAACTGCAGAAATTCTTCTTCATAAAAAAAAAACTATAGGACAGTAAATACCTTTAAGAGATCATTAAAATCTTGAAAATACAAATCTTGCTTTCCTTACTCAATTTATCCCACAGTCTATAACTGTATACATAAGTACTACTTGTTTGTTGAATGGATGATTAAATAAGCAAACAAATTCTTTCATTTCTCACAATAACGATTGGCCAGCAACTATGCTAAGGAAAATATGGGGAATATAAAGACAATGAGTGAGTTTTGGTTCTGCCACAGAAAAATGTATGTACAAGCTCTAACACACTAGGCACAAACTGTTAACTTTTATTATTGAAGCTGAGTGATAGGCACACAGAGACTCACATTACTATCTCCACTTTTGGAAATTTTGATAATAAAAACTTCAAGTAATAAAACAATGTAGACTATAGGTCAGAATGTAGAGACAGCAGTATGTCTATGACTCTAGGTTTCTTCTTGCATATTGGTAATATGAGAAGATGACAGTGTCAGCCCACTACCCTAGAAGATGCATGCTCGCTGTTATTTTGTCAATAATATAGTCACACTCAGACTGAGACTTCCAAACTCATTACTGGATCCCTTTTTGATACAGAACCAGCTTCTAGGGAAGTTGACAGGATCAGACATACAATATGTAGAACAGATGTAAAATCTGATTAAAATAAGACTGAAGTCATAACTATTATGAAAATTTTTGCAAGAAATAAAATAAAACCTAGCTGGGCATGGTAAGGCATTTCTATAATCCCAGCATTATGGGAGGCTGAGGAAGGAAGATGGCAAGATGAAGCACAGCCTTAGCAACTTAGCAAGACATTGTCTCAAAGTGTGTGGGGAGGTTATGTAGCTCAGTGAGAAGGCCCTAGTTCAATCCCCAGTATTTAAAAAAGAAAACCTCAAAGGAAACTTCTTAGATGGCTCAACCAAGTCCATGCTAATGTGTGTACATTGCATCCCTTAGAGAAAGAACTAGAACCAAGGTACATGTCCCCTTGTAATGCACAAATGTTTTCTTTTTGACATTAAAGATATGATCGTCAAGAAATAAGAAAAAGCTTGCCTAAGCACAAATACAAATTGTAAGTATGTGCACAGAAAATATTCACTCTCTCTAAAAATCAAAGAAATGTAAATTAAATCTGTCTGTAAAATACAGTTTCATATCCACTATGGTAGTAAAGTTTTATTTAAAAATCTTTACCACTATAAGCAATGCATGATGAAGATGGCAGACATTTTGTTATTCTCAATTGGTATAAAGCTATTTTGCAAGAGCTATGAAGATATTCATATTTTTTGACTCAAATGTTTTAATGAACCTAAGATTCATCCAAAAAAGCAAAAACATAAAGACTTCAACTCAGCTGCTTACAAAAGAAAAAAAATTAATAATTTAATAATTAACAAATAAAACTTTTAAATAAATATCAACAAAGTAGATGATTGACTTGATTTTTTTGAGACAGGGTCATGCTGTTTAGTTCAGACTATCCGTGAACTCACTATGTAGCCCAAGCTGGTCTGAAACTTGCAGTAATCCTCCTGCCTCAGCCTCCCAAGTGCTGGGATTACAGGTATACACCACCACACCTACCTGATTTGACTTGATTTTTAAAATAACATAGAAATGTGGAAAATACATTTATGTAAGGTGAAAACAGGTTTCTAAGTAATATATATTGTAATTGCTAGAATATTAAAATGTTTTCAAGAATGAGGAAAGGAGCAAAAATGACAAGCATTACTTTAGTACAGGGGGTATGATGAATGAGTTTTTATTCTTTCATTCTAAAACTTCCCTTTAATGCCATCATTAGATTTTTTTTCATTAAATTTTTTGTATGAACTTTGACAAAGAAATCTTTCACAAAAGGGATGGATAAAGCGGTATTTGCAAATTAGCTCCTGAATATGTAAGGATATTCTTTTTAAACGGAAAAACATCTATTAACCTAATATCTTGCTTATTACACAGCATTTTGGAAATCAAAATTTTGTTTTTTTAAATTAGGTAAGAAAACATTTCTCTATTTTTAACAACGACATCTATAAGGTATAACTTACACAGTTTTTTCATTTAAAAAATCTAGGCAAGGTGGCACACACCTATAATCCCAACTCTCTGGGAGGCTGAGCCAGGAGGATTGCAAATTCAAGCCCAGCCCAAGCAATTTAGAGACCTTATCTCAAAAAAAGAAAAATTAAAATAAAAAAAGAGCTCAGGATGTGACTCAGTGTGACAGCCCTAGGTTCAATCCCTAGTACCACAAAAAAAAGGACAAATACTTTGAATACACAAAAAGTTAACAGTCTTTTAACACCATCTTACTTCTAAATGACTTTGTTCCAAAAGCCTTTTGATTATACTACCTCTAAGGATTAACCTGTGAAGTTACATATACACACTCACCATGCCCCGAACAACTATTACTTGGGAGGGTTATGAAGAAACAGTGTTCACTTAATCTGGATCACTCCTGACCGCTGGAAACCAGGCCTCCAAGAATTAAAGTAAGAAATAAGGATTAGGCCTCTGTGGCAGACATGGCAGTACCTGTGACTGGAAGAGGTATGCTAATACTCAACCTGTGAGATAGTTGTTAAGCAGCTTTTACCACCAGCTAGAATTTATTTAAATTGCAAAGATGAGGCAGTTCTTCAACTATCTGAAGGAGAAGAAAAACACATGACAGCAGCTGGGCTCAGCAATAAATGCTACATTTACCTTGTTAATTTCAAATTGGCTCACTGGGATACTACCATTTAGCACATTTTCTCTAATTTCTATTAACTTCTTCTGAATGTTTTCCACTATAGTGTCCCGGCTTTGATCAGAAAGAATCTGGCCAATGACAAAGCTGCAAAAAAAAAAAAAAGAGGGAGAGAGGGGTAGGGAAAAGGAGGGAGGAAGAGAAAAGGGGAAGGGGAGGGGGAAAGAGAATTTCAACATTATATTTTATTAACAAAGGAGAGAAAAGACAGGCGCCATTAATGATTAACATGTTGACAAAAACTATACTAAGAACTAATATGAGGGCTAATGTCCAAAAGGCAGTTATTATTTGTTTTTTTAATACTAACTGCACCAAAGGTTTACCAACTTTGGAATGTCAAGTTTGCTCTTAGAGACCATTTATTCATGTGCCAGCTAATGCTTTATACAAAATGTAGTTGAGAAAAATGTGTTCTACCGTATTTTTATGCAACGACAAAATTCAAAAGCAGTTACAGTCTACCCATAAGTTAAGTTAAAATCTTAGAAGACAAATATTTTACTTTTCTCATAAGGCACCAAGATACTGTATAATCTCTGGGATCATCAAGATATCACCTCCACCTGAGATGACCGTTAGCTAAGTGAGTGGAAATATAAAGCTCTTTATGTAATTGTAATGCTCAGTGTTCTCCAACCTTATGCTTTCCCTCAAAAATGTCATATTATTCTACTAAACTCAAAGGGAAGAGAAAGAGCAAAGGAAGCCAATATATTATCCATTTCAGAGAAAATGCAGAGCAAGAGTTTGACAGCTGCATTATAATGTCAGAAAAGAACCATGACAAAAACATTTGTATAGCTTTAATTACTAATACATTTCTAACTCAGAGAAATTTACTCCTATTATGATGCATCTTTTCTTAGAAAACACAAAGCTGAAGAGAACACTTTAATCGACAGTCTATGCAAAGTAGTTTCATCTTTGGGTACATTTGGGGGCAATGAAGCACGTCAAACTACATTTCATAAAAGGCTAACAGTGACCTATACTTAGATGATCAACTCTTCCTAATCAAGAGCAGTTTTGCAGAAGGAAAACTGCTCAATCTCCCAACCTGAAAGCAGTAGGAACATGGGAAAATAAGTAAAAAATGCTGATATTTAGCAAAATTAAAATGTCTTAAATCTAGCTTTAAAGAAAAAGTTGTTTTCAGAATTGATCCAGTTCACAAAATAAGGGTTTGAAAGATGGTACATAAAGTACCTAAAGGCCGGGTATTTAGCTCAGTGGTTCCATCACCTGCCTTCCAAGTGCAAGGTCCTGAGTTTGATCCCCGGTACCCCCCTCCCCCAAAAAAAGATTCATTTTAAATGGGTATTTTATACATTAATATGACCCTTAAAAAGTCTTGTCACAATCTTCAGTCTCAGATGAAAAGTTAGGGGGTTAATCATGACATTTATTATTTCTGAGGCATACATAATATCGAGAACTAGCTCTTAATCTGAAATTAGTAAAATTATCATTTACACACAAATGATATGGTGGAACAGTTTCACTTCATGGGTCACTTTGATCCTCTTTTTTTTTTTAATGGTACTGGGGATGGAACTCGGGTCCTTGTGCTTGTGGGGCAGGCAGAGGAACCACTGAGCTAAATCCTTGGCCCTTCACGGGTCACTTTGAATTCCAAAACATTTTAAGCCACAACATGGGGGAATCTTAACAACTATGTTCCTAAATAGGCTCTAAAAAGATCTAGAAGCACAAAACAAAACAAAACAAAACATTTTCTAATAGGAAAATTAAAACAAACCAACATCAATGAAACTAACTCTCTAAATGTGAAGGCTTATCCTCACAATGAGTTAAAACTTGTAAGATTTCTTACCTAGCAAATTTGGGTTTTTTTCTAACATTTAATCTAACTATAAAATTCCATCCCAAATAAGTACTGTTAATATGCAATAATAATCACAATGACAAATAAAATTTAACTTTTTGCTTGGCAGTCTCACAGGAATTCTCCACATCAACACTTAATATTTTTAAAAGACAAACAACAAAAGCAAAATGAAAGCTGAACTCACTTGCCAGTGTCTTTAGCAAGATCACACCAATCTCTTCTAACTATATCTAATCCTTTCAGCTCCTGTTTGGTAACATAATTCCCATCTGAAGTTGGTTCAACAACCAGAGCAGCATACTTCTTTTTCTTCAGCAGTAGCAGAGACTTGAAAACACCATCAATGTCTATTTCAAGCAGTTTGTATAACTTATTCACTTCACTTTTTACCTGTGAAAATTTCAAATATTAATGCTAGTTTCTCAAAAATCTAACATGGAGAAGATATTCCCAAGAATTAATCTAAAAAGAATTTGAAGTCATATAAGATTAGAACACGTTATATGTAACATTATGTTGAGTACAATGCAAAGATGTTGAAAAACAAAGGGACAAAAACAAGACATAAAAAATAAAGAGGTAAGGTGTGGTTTGGTAGTGTAATCCTAGCTACTTAGGAGGCTGAGGCAGGAAGATCACAAGTTTGAATCCAGAAACTCAGTGAAACCCTGTCTCAAAATAAAAATTAACTATTTTAAAAAGTAAGAGTTCTAGGTATACAGCTCAGTTTCAGTGTCCTTGCCTGGCACAGGGGTTCCATCCCTAGGACCACAAAAAACAAAGAGACAATACAGTCAGCCCCTGACTTATGAACGAGTTCCATTCTAAGAGAATGTTCATATACCGGATTGGTTCATAATCTGAGGAAGTTGAGTCTTATACAGTACACCTGTGAAAGTCCACAACGCAAATGTTTTTATGTTGGGGACTTACTGTAATATTTTATATCATCCTTCTCAAACAAAGGATAGGACTGGCTGAATTAATCCCCCAAAATAAAAGTAAATTATGAAAAATTATGAAAGCCTTGTGTAAATAAAAAATTCAATACCTGTGTACTTGCCTTTGAACTACTGACTTGAGTTAGTAATTATGAATTACTAATTATGAACTGCTATTAAGGGGTTAAAAATTATTATTTCTTTGTCGTTGTTGTTCTTGCAGTACTAGGAATTGAACCCAGGGTCTTCACACGGAGCTACATCCCCACCCCTTTTTTGAGACTAGGTTTCACGAAATTGCCCAGGTTGGGCTTCAACTTGTAGACCTCCTCCCTCAACCTCCCAGAGTATAGGGATTACACAGGTATGTGCTACTATGCCTGACTTACAAATGATTATTTCTAAATGTCTCCTTGCCCTTTCAAATATATTTTAAGTAGTCCTATAAAAACATAGAAATGTGTGTATGTATGTGATTGTGCAAATATGTAGGTATTTATCCATATCTATGTATAAAATACATTTGAAAACTACTGAACATGTATTTCCCTGAGAGCAACAATGTGACAGGTACAAAAGTGACCGCATCTTAAGTTACAACACTTAAGACTATTTTCACAGGAAAAATGTATCTATCACTTAAGCAAAAAATAAAAATAAAAAAAAATTACTTTGAATTTTACCCTTAAAACAGTGGGATTTAGCTCAGTGGCACCGCGCCTGCCTCACAAGCACGAGGTCCTGAGTTAAAAACCTAACAATGAAAATAGTTAAAAAAAAAAGAAGAGGAAGAGGAAGAGGAAAAAGAAGGAAAAGGAGAAGGAGAAGGAGAAGGAGAAGAAAAGAGAATGACGAATTCAAAGCTACACAGTTTATTTTTTTCAGAAGCATACACATGCACACACATAAATTTAGGGTGTTCACTGTTAAAAACAAAATTCACAAAATAGATAAAACAGACAATTTCATTAAACTATCTCACCTTGTTCCCCAACTTAAATACTTCTTCCAGATTGGTGCTATTGGTGTTTATCATAATTGAATCCGTATCTCCATAAATAACTTCAAGATTCATCTAATGAAAAGCCAAAATTACAAAAATTAACAACAAAAATAGTGACCATTATATGCAATGAAACTAAAGATTTTTCATACTACAGAAATTACAGGTGCCACTGACTTTTCAAAAGTTCATGTTATTATCTGTATTGTCAGGGTGTATAATTAAAAATTATGCCCCTATAAACTAGAAACGCTAGACCACAAATTAAGAAAATCCCCCAAATCTTCTTAAAACAGAGTTAAATGGAAGAGAATTATGTCTAGTTTCAACAGAAACCAAATATGGAATTTAATAATGAGAAGGAGAATAAGAGGCTAGGAAATGAGGTCTATATTTATCCACTGTACCACATGCTTAGTGGTCATGGCAATTTAAGGAGCTGAAACATAATGGGTTTTAAAAATTCAGGGGGCACAAATCCGTATTAAATTCTTAACAGTTTCAAACAGTATTTAGTAGAATTTGAAGAGTGCCAAAAAAAATCAATCATAACAAACAACACTGGAGCACATACAGTATAAAGGCCTGGAAATAAACTCTAATTAGCACTGTTACTAATTTGCTTGAAACACTCACTCATAGGCTTCAAGCAGAGGCTAGATCATATCAGTGTTGGTACAAGAAAAAAGCTGTAATCCATTAGGAGGGATTATAAATGTAAACTAGACATCCTAAGAAGCAATTTTCAGTATGTTTGGGTTACAATTTTCCTTGAATAGAGAAATGTCACCAGGTATGATATTTAAGAGTTGTTATACAATGAAAATGCTCAGCATTACCTTCTGTACCATCTCTTTCGTATGCATCAAAATCTAAATGAAACAAAAGTCAAGATTAATACATTACACAAAGACATAAATATAAGCACAAAGAGAAGTAATTCTGTGATTTGCCATTTCTGTGTATCTTCAAAGCTCTTAAAGGTTTCCTAACAACTCTCAATAACAGTAATATCAACATAATACAAAAATAAGTTTGTCTCTATGCTAATTCTTAGCCAGAGGTCTGGAAGGAGATATATATCTGTATCTCTGTATACCTCCCTCACCCTGGTGTTGGAGATTAAATCCAGGGCTTTTGCACTAAGCTACATCCACAGCTCTTTTTGTATTTTTTTAAATTTTGAGACTGAGTCTCCCTAAGTTCCCTAGGATGGGCTCAAACTTGCCTTAGCCTATCATAGTACTGGGATTCAGGCATGCACCATCATATCTGGCTCTATGTATCTTTAATGAACACACATAATAAAATATTCTTTTATAATATGGCAAAAAGGCAAACTTGCTGTTATTACTAATATTTAAATAGAATTGCATGGCTAAAAATAGCTTAATTGCATTTCAAATCTGGCAATTCTTAGCTATTGTATTTAGATTATACATATATACATTTTTTTCCTCCACTATATTGCCTAGAGTTAGCAAAGTGACCAGCTAAAAGGTGGCACTCAACAGTTGGCTAGTGAAGGCAAATATATGGCTAAAAACTGTAGATGAGTCTGTCCCTGGGCCCATATGGCTACAGACCAGAGATAGGTTACAATGTACACGTAGATAAAAAGATATAAATTATCTTGGGCCAGATCAGAAGGAACACATATGATACAGTGGGGGGGGGGAGAATAGAGGAGAGAGAGATTTTAAAACATATGTGTTAGATACTGTGCTAAGAGGATGCACTTCATGAATTTTTCTCATCTTCAAAAGATCCTTAAAAATGCAGCTACTATTAGCACCCCCATTTGTTAGATGCCAAAAGACAAAGCCATTAGTTTGTCCCAGTAAGGGCAGAACAAGGACATAACCCCAGGCTGACTCCAGGGCCTTTGGTGATGCCACGCTACGGTCTCTCTACTATCACCCATCTTTCAAAGCATCGGTCTAAACAGAAGTCACTTTTCCAGTGGGCAAAATAAAGATTTACTTCATTTATATTCTTGTCTCCCACTTCAATAGCTGGCCTTGACTACTAAGCTCAAGCCTCAGGGTATCATTTCTGTCTTTTGTGTCCTCCCTATTATGCAAACTTTGTATGAGGAGCATCTTTACATCTATCCATTGTTTTCCATCTTTATTGCCCACTCCCCTTTCTTACCATCTCCTGATTTTGCCCTTCCCCTGCCCTGGGGTGGGTGAATGGTGGTAAATTCTGATTAAGCCAAGTCAGTGATTTTACCATTGGCTGCACAGTGGTATCACCTGGTTATCTTTAAAAAACTAAAAACAATAACCAACCCAACACCTTTCTGTAAAGCTCTCTAAGTGATTTTACTTGCAAGCTGGGTTGAAGAAGGCTAGCCTATGATAGTCATGGTAATCATGGTAATTCCATTCTAGAAACAGTGATAAATTTAGACATGTGCATGCCACAACACAATCCTGGACAATCAAAGGTAAAGAAAATTCCTCTAGGAAAATTTTGTGAAATCATTCCTGATGAGAAGTGGGAAGAAAAACTGTCTTTTAGACAGGGCTGCCTGGGGCAGTGGCAACCATCACTGTGTAAGAGCCATGTGTGAAGGTACAAGAGTACACAATGAGAAGGGCAGGCCACTGGCAGAAAGCATCTGACTCCAAGGCCATGTTGTCACTGAATGTTAACCAACTAACACCTCTAAAGCAACGTCCTAACTGATTAGTTTTCATCAAGCTGCACTGAATCATTACCAACCTTTGAAATGTTTTCAATGTCTTTTCAATGCCTACTAAAAAAAGGTCCAATTCTGCGACTGCATCTAAATCACTACTCTACCTGCATAGCCTCTTATTCCCTTACAGAGCCCCTTTTGCCAGGCAGGGTAAGTCCTCCAACAGTTACCACATACAAACTCATCTTTTCATGCCTTTGCTCAGTGTGGCCCCTACCTGGCATTTCTTCATTAGTCCTCTTCCTGTGCCTGCATTTTACAAACCTCAGTTCAAATCCTTCTTTCATAAAGCCTGAACTGACTGGCCCAACCCAAAGTGATCTCTCTCCTCTGATCTGTGCTTACTCTGTTCTAGCAAATTAATAACACCATATTATTACTTGATGGTCTGTTGCCCTCCCCTCAACTAGACCACAAGCTTCTGGAGGTAAGTAAGAATGCGTGGTTTGTGCCTAAGTGCAGACTATACGTAAAACAGGCTCTCAAAAAACTGTTGTGCCAATTGACTGATAAGCCCCAGAGTAATACCAATTGCTGTTCTACTAGACACTACAACTCAGTTAACTTATTTTTAAAAATTCACTCTCCTCCACTTCATCTTTACTTTCTAACATTTAAATTACAGGGAAATGCATTGTGGGAGAATACCTGACAATTCCTTTGGGAAAAGGGCAATAATGAGATCAACCCAAGTCAAGTTAATCATAATGAGGACAGAACTATTTATCAAGAGTTCTCTCCACCCTTTGCCCTTCCACCTGGCACAGCTTAGATTTCATCATCACAATGGACGACTTCATAAGGTAACAGTTATCTACTAAGTAAAATACTTCAGGAACAACCTGTCAAACTTTCACTACAACTCTGCATATTTAGTAACCAACTCCTTCCACTCCTTTCACAACGTGTACCAAACCTATTAAGTCATCCCTGAGTGCACCTTCAATGTGAACTGGCAACTTTCACCTTTCAGATCCATCATCCACCTCCACTCTAACCTGCCACTTCCAACTCACAACCATCTCCCCGCACAATCTGAGGGCTGCTACCAAAATAATTTTCCCTCTGGTGACAGAAGTCTTTTCGTAAATTTTTTTTCTTAATAGACACAAATGGCAAATATAGACTGTTGCAACTTCTTTTCTCACTTAATACTTTCGTCTTAGAGACTATTCAAACCCATACATAAAGAGCTGTTTTATTTTTTAATGATTGTATAATATTTCATTACATGAAAAGATCACATTTAACTAATGCTCTATTAATGAACATATAGGTTGTTTCTAATCTTTAAAACTACACTTTAACAAATAATCCTTATATACATGTAATGTGCAAATCTGCTGGTAATAGGATAAATTCTTATATGTGGAACTAGTGGGTCAAAAGTTATGTTTAAAAATTTTTTTATAAATATAGCCCAACAGCTCTCTTGATAGGTTGCACTGATTGCTATGGGTAGTTTTAATCACCATCTTTTATAGTGAACTGCACTAGGAGCTGGTGGCAATGCTGTCTCAGGTTTAGGGTCCTCAACCCCAACTTGTCAACTGGAAGTAGCAGGGTGAGACCACCCATAACCAGGCTAACCTCTGACTTCTCATGCTTCTTCCCTCAGCAATTCTACAGGGGAGAACTACAGAGCTCTCTTCAGTCCAATGCTTACTCGTGTGCTGATGAGCAGGACCACACCAAAGCTACTCCCAGGCCCAGCCTTCAATTCAAACTGCTCCCTGGGATGGACTCAGCTACTGGATACTCAGTGGACCATTAAATTCTTAGTATCAAACAGAGGGCCTGGTACATGGGAGCTATTAATAAATATTTGTAGAATGCCGAATGAATGATCCTAAAGAGTAGACAGGATCATAAGCCCCCATTTGACAGATGAGGAAAATTAGGCTCTGAGATTTTGCCCCAAGTAACAGAGCTAGTCAAGAGCTGCACCTTATATTCATTTTCTTTTCATTATGTCCTACTACATTAAGAAACTCAACCTACATGAATATTCTACAAGCCAATAGTCAAAAATATATACATATAGATATTTTCCTCATTGCAGAAATGCATTTTTAAAAATAGTCATGGGTACCTAGAAAGGTCTACTGGACACAAGGCACAGTGATTACAAGATGACCGTTTATAAAGTCACTTCGATGTGACAAGCCCAGTATTAAAGCTACCCATTCTGACAGAAAATCATTTTATAAGTGCCAACAGCTAGAAAACAGGGGTATAAAGCCTTGCTAAATTCATTAATAAGGCAGTCTGCAGTTATCTGATTTCACAGCAACACCTGCATATTTATCTACTCATTACCAATTGGATGATGGAATTTTTTCAAGCACATTTCAAAAATCTGCCAACTTCAAGTGTAAAAAAATAAACTTTGTGGTTAATTTTTCCCTTAACAAAGTACAGCTGTTGAGAATAATTGTTCAAGATCTTACCCTGTAATGTCAACTGCAGCAGAACAAAGAGTATTTAATTAGCAAATCTATCCAGTAATTCAACACCTATTATATAAAATGCCTTCGTGATTTTATTCAGGATAATTTGCTAAGAGGGTTATTACTGACATTCAGATGGAATTTAAAATTCCTACGCAAGTCGAGTCATAATAGCAGTAATGATCTCCCCAATCAGGAGATTCGGTGTCACACAAGGCTCTCTTGCAATGCAGCAGCCGATTTCCTGACTTCTTAATTCCTGGGCTCAGCTCAGTGAGAGCCCTTCATGCCGATATTTCAGTCAGCAATACATCTTTAATGGGACTCTATTAAAATAACTAGAACAAAAATGACTTTTTTTTTGGTTAAAAAGAATGACAGCACTGCCATCATATCAATCATTGCAGGCTTTGCAGAACAGTGCCGTTAGGGGAAAAGAGGAGGGGGAAACAGCAAAGGAGTAGGGGGTGGGGAGAGCAATAATTAAAATAATATGAAAAGATATTTTAACCCCAATCTGAGCCTCTGAAGGCTGGATAGGGGTGGTGGAAACTAGAAAAAAACTGTTAATGTACCTCAAAAAATTGTTTTTCTTAAGAAAATAATTTGTTCAGGAATATGTCCACAATATGTAGTCTACTGAGCAGAAAGCATGTTTGTTGTGCCAAGATTAACAACAGCAACCTAAGACCTTTACTACTGAGATATATATTTA